ATCTGAACAGCTCTATTTAATTAATTAACTCATCAATAATTAATTCATCAAAAGGATAGACCTAGCCTTCGGATGAATCCCTATAGCAAATGTTATGCGATTGCCCACGTATTATAAGTTAAGAACTTTATATCAGAAAGTTAGGCGACGTACGAAAAGTTTCAAGACCAACTGACCAATGTCTTGGAGACTTAGTTATGAAAAGAACAATTTCGCAGCCTGCTTAATATCAACAGCGTTGAATCCAATGGAGAAGATTAGTCGGAGCCCCCATCGAAAACGGCGGAATTGATGTCCCACCCTCCGAATATGACGAGGTGCGAATAACCATTTCGTGGGTGAAAAGCAATAAAGCTGCTGAAGCTGCCGCCTGATAGCTGTGCTGTCCAAGCACAAGGGCGAAGAACTGACAAGGCGTATGCAGCACAGAAGGGATACCTGTGTGTAAGGCTTAGATCCCCCATCCATTATCGGTGCGGCTTTAAACATACTAGGTATTCACCAAATGGCAAATCTAAGTAAAGACTTACAAGAGTAGAAACAACAGAGAACAATACGTCGTCACGTAAATATAGGCGGCTAAGAATTGGGTAGAGGACTTCTAGAAACCAGCAAAGAATAACTCTTGCCAACGAGAGTCGGCAGGCAATTGAAAAACATGGTTGGAAATCACACTCCACAAATTTATCATCGTGCCCATTCCTCTATATGGCGCAGAAATGTTCACTATGGCCCCAAGCGTGTGATGACGGGTACCAAAGAAGATGGAATAACTAACTGAGAGCTTTTTAACGACATAGCTTCAATTTGACGCATAAAAATACCACGATTGCTTAGACATGTTCAACGTATGGAGGACAGCGTGGCGGTTCTGTACGGCTCTGGTATAGGTAATCACAATAGGGGTATTCTCTGAGTCTTGCAAAGCCCTTGCAAGGTGCACGGATTGCACGGTTTGCAAAGCTGTCCCATACGAAAACCGGTTTTTTCCGTGCAATCCGTGCAATCTGTGCACCGTGCAAGGGCTTTGCAAGACTCAGAGAATACCCCTAATATGTACTAAAAAATCTCATAAAATAATATGCAAAGTTCCAAAAGCCGGGAATATTCACTGAAATTTCATATTAACAGAAAACTTCCATTTCCTCTGGCATTAACATTTGTGTAATTGACGATAGTTGTCGTTGAAATCAGTAAGCACAGGACTAATGATAATCAACAGAAATATAACATTCCCTCAACATAGTCTGTTATGTACAATGTAAACCCATAAAATTAGCCATAAAAGGACAACAGGACATTAGAGGCGTTTATATTTCTCCGAAAATAACAATTTTAACGACAGAAAGGAACAATTTGCAAGATAAATCCATAATTAAAAGCTCAATTTAGTAAGAATAAAAATTTTCCTGTAGCAAAGTAGCATATGTATAGTTGTTCCACGGTGCTTTCCATTTTGAAATCCGCATCAATTGATATTTTATCAAATCAATAGAAGAACAGTGAATGGTAAGCTATTCCGTAATGCTAACTAAATGCAAAAGTTGCAGTTGTTTTTGCATATACGTAAAAAACTTAAACCACTGTTTTTTTTTATTTTTGGATGTAGCAAAACTTCCGTTTAATAAAAAGGATATGTAGAATATACGTTAACTTTTATTAACGATCAACTATGAACAATTTAATTACCAAGTATCACATATTAAAAAATTTTAAAAAAGGAACATACACTATGGCAAGGAAATTTGTTTAAACTTCTAGAGGCTTAAAATGTTTAAAAATTCGTTTCGGAACCACAAACGTAAGTGTGGTTTTAAATGCTTGCCTGAGAACTTATGTAAATGCATTTATATGCATAGAACTACGTATATGCGCATGTATGTATGTATGTAAGTAGGTATCAATAATACACTTTAGTGTTTGAAAATTTCCAGCCAGCCAAAGATATTCGATCAACGGGCTAGTTATGCAATTTAATGCAAAGCAGCTACAGCCTTATTGGCTGCATCATCTAAGTCCACAGCTGTTTGTATGGCCAGTCCAGAGTCCTTCAATATCTTTCTGGCTTCGTCCACATTTGTACCTTCCAAACGCACTATAAGTGGCACTGTGAGATTGAGAGTTTTTGAAGCTGCTACTACGCCGTTAGCAATAGTGGCACAATTTACAATACCACCAAATACATTAACGAGAATTGCTTTTACTTTTGGATCGGATGTCACGATTTCGAAGGCTTTTAACACTTGATTCTCCTTAACACCACCGCCAACATCAAGGAAATTTGCTGGCTCACCTCCATTTAACTTGATTATATCCATAGTAGCCATAGCGAGGCCAGCACCATTCACCAGACAGCCGATATTACCATCCATTGCTACATAATTGAGATTGTTTTTGGCAGCTTCCACTTCACGTGGATCTGTGTCTTCTTCGGCGGTGTGTAGCGCGAAAATCTCTCTTTGACGATATTCGGCATTATCATCAAAGTTCAATTTGGCATCAACAGAGATCACTTCACCGGTATCAGTCTCAGCTAACGGATTTATTTCAATTTGTGTGGCGTCCACGGCCTTGAAAAGATCGAACAGCTTTTGAATCTCACTGGCTGCACGTTCTATACATTTTCCCTTGAATTCTAAGAACTTGGCTATTTCAACGAGTGTTTCTTGAGCAATTGGTTTATCGAGATCTAAAGGTACAGTCTTTATTTTCTCAGGCGTCTTTTCAGCAACCGCTTCAATATCCATGCCACCAGCGGGCGAGGCAATGAGCACAGGCCCATTATGTTCACGATCCAATACTATTGATACGTACGTTTCTCGTGTAATATTTACACTACGTGCCACCATTACCTTTTTTACCAAAATGCCTGATTTTGGTGTTTGCTTTGTAATGAGACGATGGCCAATCATTTTATTTGTAAGCGTAAGCACTTCATCTTTCCTGCATTAGAGTTAGAAATGGTATCACTTTTTCTATTTTTCCGCTGTATGTTTGATTTTATAACTAACCGTTTGGTAAGATGCACGCCACCTTTGAACCCATTATCGAAAGTACCCTTACCGCGACCGCCTGCCAGTATCTGTGCCTTCACCACATATTCTGGACATTCTGCCATAAATTATAATTTTGTTATTGTATTGATTTAATATTATTGTCAAAGCAAAGTAATAAAAATTTCTTACCGAACTGGTCAATCTGCTGCTTATCGTTGGGTGAATTATCTAATAGTCTGAATTCCTGTATGGCGACACCGTATTTCTGGAGCAATTCTTTGCTATTACACTCAAGCAAATTTAAATTACGCACTTGTTGCAGATGAGTAGTCTGAAAAAATAATAAAATAATGGTTATTGGAATATTTAACACTGATGAGATATGTAAGTAAAGCAGACAACTTAACCTTTTGGACAATTCGCATAGACGTTGTAAAGCCGGCGGCAGCGCGTAGCATAGGCAGCATTTTCTTAATTTCTAGTGTGCAACAGACAAAAACTTGTTTGCAAAAAGATTCTTTGCGAATTCACTGAGGTAGATGCAAGGTGTATTTAAGGTGTGTTAAATACGCCTTGGGTAGATGTATCTGTTTATTATTTTTTATGTTAAAAATTAAACAAAACAAGCACTTTGAACTTTTATATTCAGCCGCTGTTCGTTAAAATGATAACCTGGTTTCTTATCTAAAAAATGCACTCAAGAGTAGAGTTGGGAAGTTCACGAACCAGTTCGTTCAATGAACTAGGTCATTGAATTGATCGAACGAACTAGTTCGAAATTTAAACTGAACTATTCGTTCCAAGCATACATGTAATATAATGGGCTGTTTTTGCTTACGTGTAAAAGCACATTTAACGCATTTAACTCTAAATGCTACTCTAATTGTACATTTATCCATACAAAATTCGTCACCTAAATGCAACTAAATGCAACTCCATTTTTGCATTAAGAATCTAAATGCTAAAACCAACCTGTGATCGTCCAAAATTTCCAGGATTCAAACAGGGTTTAATGCAAAAGTGGCAACATTGCTTTTCGCGTGTACAGTGGCTAGCTGCGTTTCAGTGATCGCCGATCGAGATTTCATTTATTATTTTACATTATTTCGATAAACAAAAGCTACGCAAATTCATCATCGATTTGATGCTGATAGAAATCTGGATTAATTTGTGATCAACTCTGTTCGTTTTATTTCCTAATTAAAGGAGGAAATTTTAATTGACAGCACCGACAAATGAATATATACACAAACAAATTTTCGGTTATGGTTAAAAGAATTCAAGTTTTTGTGTTTTTCCTTTTCAGTGGTGTTTTTTGTACATTATCTTTTCCGTGAGACTTGATCGTAATAGATACGATCTGAATAAGCGACTGGAACACGGCTGTTTGTCAAAAGCATAAGATTTCGAACTAGCGTAAATGTACATTTTCTAAATGCGATAGGATGAACGCTCTTCGAAAACATATGTTCGAAAGTGCTAAATGTTGCATTTTAAATGCAGCAAAAACGCTGCATAAGGTCCTGTCTCCACAGGAAAACGTTATCTACGTTCGTTGCACATACTCACTGCTTGAGGTATTTATTTGATTGTATCCGTGGAGCTTTAAATAGCTCGCGCGGAATGCGTATTATAATACATCGTTCACGGCCGAAATTTTTGCCAACATCAATTCTCATAATTATTGTCAGGACGTTAACACCACGGAGACAATTATCAGCGTTTTTGACAACTAATACGTATTTCAGAATTGTCTAATGTAAACGCGCCGTAAATGTAAACAGCTGATAAAGGAATGCCAGAAGATACAAAGAAGCAACGACCGAAAAAAATTTAAATTTCCGATTAATAAAAATTTCCGATAAGGAACCCTATTATTTAAACAGATACTTTTGTGATAAACGTTTTTTAACTTTATTAATTTAATTATAATTGTGAATTTTTTTAGGTTATAAATTGTTTTAAGGTACGGCAACTGTGTTCCTATTTTTTATTTTTGTTTTCATTTCCACTTGACAGTTTTGACATTTGATTGACCATAACCCAAAAACCTCGCTGGATGCAAACTTTGCGTCTTCCTTCCGATCCTGTCGTATAAATTTACAGCGTGAAGTTTTTATTAAGCAAGTTATTTCCATTATTCATAAACATGTCTGCTAGCCCTTCAGTGATTTCAGTTAAAAGCGCCGATGAATATAATGCGTTGATCAAGTAAGTTGTTTTGCCCTGCTATAAATTGTATCTTGCTGCTACTTTCGATATACGATGGAATCATTTTTACGCTTAAGTGCCGAAAAAACCACAGTGGTGCTCTTTACCGCCGATTGGGCTGAACAGTGTAAGCATGTGCAAGAAGCGCTCGAGGAGCTTGCCAAGATTTTGAGCGCAAAATTACAGTTTGCTAGCATAGTGGCCGAGAACTTTCCGGAGATATCTATGAAGCACCAGGTAAGGTTATCTTGAATAAGCTTTTTCTACTAATCCATTTAAACTCTTCAGATTGAAGCAGTGCCCACCATTATTTTCTTCACTAAAGGCTCAGCCGTGGATCGCGTAGATGGTGTTAATGTAGCTGATATCACTGCCAAGTGTAAAAAAA